TAAACCCTAAGCCCTAATTTAGAGAACTACCCATACGGCTGGGAGCTTCGGGGCTCTGGGTGCCGCCGCACCCGCAGCTCGCTTAAGAAGTCTGTACGTCTCTACGCCCGTCTAGGAGAGAGGTTTAGGGTTTAGGGTTTACGGTTTAGACGTTTAGGGTGGTTTAGACGTTTAGGGTTTAGGGTTTAGGGTTTAGACGTTTAGGGTTTAGGGTTTAGAGTTTAGGGTTTAGGGATTTAGAGAGATGTTTATGAAAGAAACCATAACGCTAAGGCGCATTAAGTTAGGTGTCAAATCAAAACAGCTGACCAAAGAGTTGCACGTCAGTAAGTGATGTCCAGCCAAGGATTTCGGAGATTCTGTGCTGGCCGTCGGTGCGGGGTTGGGCTCATGAAATGCATAAGGGCTTTTGGTTCTTATGTTGAAGGTTTAGGCGTTTTGGGTCGCAGAAGAGAGTCGTAAGGGTGTCGTCGTGCTTCAAGACGAACCCTAAGTCCTAACCCAAAACACTACACCATCCGCCCAGTATCTTCGACCCTTAACCCCAAACCCTAAACACGTCACCCAAAAATCCTACACCCTGAACCAAAAACACCAAACTCCAAGACCTAACCCAACACCCTGCAACCGTAACTTAAAACCCAAAACCCAAAAACCCAAGAACCCAAAACCCTCAATCAAAAAACCCTAAACCCAAGAACTCCTAGACTCTAAACCCGGAAGGTTCGAACCTGCCTGCTTCCGACATTCACGGTCCGAGGCAAAATGTCCAGACCAGACCGGGAGGATCCCAAAAGTAGATCCTTTGAGGGGTTTAGAGTTTAGGATAATCAAGTACCCTAAACCCTAAACTCTGAAGGGTCCCAAACTTAAGGGCTCTTGTTTCGAGATCCTCCCACAAATCTGGGAAGTGCCACGCCACATCCCTCTTGTCCTGCCTCCTGTCACCCTGTTTTAAAGGGTGTGTTGCACATATGTTCGTTATGAACATGCATACTCAACTACTAAGAAGCATGACGGCCTTTTCTGCGCAGAAAGGCGACGGAGTCGGCTTTCAAAAAATGACCGTTGACGTTGTGACGCGGTGGGTGAGCCAGCCGGTGCCGTCGGTGGCCACAAGGAAAAGCAACGGACATGAGCAGTTCGATCCCACAGCTTCGGCGGTTCTCTCTGCTAGTGTACACTTGGAATCCTGATCGACCGGACCATCTTTAGGCTGTCTGCTCATTCTGACTTCCCGCTCCTTGTCCCACCACCTGGGCCATCACCACGGGCACCTGCACGCCTCCGGCGTAGGCTGGGGGAGCCCCTGTATAGGTTGGGGGAGAGGCCTGGTACTGGGAACTCGGTGGAGCACTCGGATCACCTCGGCCCTGAGAGCAATGGGCCACGACAGCACCTAAGCCCCACCCAATGACAACCATTGCAAGACCCACCAAAGCCGTCACGGTGCCCCCGCTCGTCCACGTGGGATTGGAAGTAAAGAGCTCTCTTCCGAAGATGGCCAGAAGGATCATGCCGATGAGAAACATCAGGGTGGCGGCGATGACGGTGACCGTCGCGGCCATACTCCGTTTTGGCAAGTTGCTGAAGTCTATCGGTCTGATCGTCGGATTACCCGGAGCAACCCCTCCTTCGCGTGCACCGCTTCGGCAGCGCATTCGACAGTTAACAACGATCATCAAGACCACTCCGATCCCAAACATTGCAAGGCCCACCTGCATCACCACAGGTGAGCTCTCAATCACCTTGGCTGCGACCATGGTCAAAATAACGCCGCCACCAAAGATGCTCAGGATGCCGGCGGTCACGATAACCTTGGTCGCTGCATGAGCTTGGTACGTTGGACATCTGGTCCCTGGTCAGGAGTGTCACCGGAGACTGGGATGGCGATTTAAAGACTAACCTTGTGCCGCTTGGGCCATAACTTTGCATCCAACGAGCTTACAGTACAAGCCCAAAAGTTGGAAACCCAATAGCCTCAAGCTTAAGATTAATGCATAAGGAATCCCAGCACTAATTGTCCTTGCTCGTGTTTCCAACTTTTTGGGGGTTTACTATGCAAGCTACTGGGGGCCTCGGGCTTATAGGGTCACTTCATGGGGCAGTATGTGTGGTTTAGGGTTTAGGGTTTAGGGTTTAGAGGAGGACACGACATGTCAGTACGTGCTCACTGTCTTTAAGCGTACAGGCTGAAGGTGATGCATGCAAACAACCCAGAGGGTCCGAGGACCCAAATAGTAAGGTTTTAGGGCCCAAAATCCATACTCTGAGTGGTTTTTGGACCATGAAACCCTACTATTTGGATACTCGGACCCTTAGGGCAATAAGGTACTTGGTTTTCGACATTTCGTGTTGGCCATGGGGACTTACGGCAAGCCTGACCCTTAGCCGATTGGGGTCCAAAGGACCTGATGACTACGTTGGGTTTAGGGTTTAGGGTTTAGGGTTTAGGGTTTAGGGTTTAGGGCCGTAGCCATGTAGGCTAGTGCTCGGAAGTGTATATGACTAGTAGATGCTTGGCCGCTTGGGATGAACTCAAAACCCAAAACCCTAAACCTTTAGAGTTTAGGGTTTAGGGTTTAGGGCCTAAACCCTAAACCCTCCCAAAGCGTATCTTTAAGATGGCGACCTCCAGCTTTGCTTCCTCGGCCATGTCCAGCAACTGCTGTCTCTCGACCTGGCACAGCACAGGGGGCTTTCGAAAATTGGGGGTACCTTATTTAGGGGTCCTTATGATAAGGATCCTATTATTTAGGGTATTATATTAGGGTCCCCTATGTTCGGAAACTCCAACACATAGGGTTTAGAGTTTGGAGGGCGAGGGTTGAGGGTTTAGGGTTTAGGGGTTTAGGGGTTTCGGGTTTAGGGTGGCAGTAGCAGGAGTGGAAGTTTCTCACAGCAGCAGCAGCAGCAAAAGGCAAGCACAACTATCATACTGTCAAAAACATGCAAGCAGGCAAGAAAGCGCATGTTGCTGCCTGCAAAATACAGCTGATGACAACGAGACTGACGGGACACGAAACCCTGAACCCTAAAACCTAAACCGCAACCCTAAACCCTAAACCGTCAGGCACATGAAGTTGGAAAAAAGCAGGGGTTTCTGGCTTAGCAATCACCACATGCGTGTACGTAGTCTCACAAGCCATCCCAAGCACAAGGAGGCGAAACCGAAACCGTAAATCCTACCTTGCGGACCGCATGACCATTATAAGTAGGTGCCCTATACACTTATACTATGAATCCCTACATGGTATATGAACCTTGAACCCTTTTGGGGTTCATGTCATCCATAATATAAACCCTAAACCCTATAAACCCTATAAACCCTATAAACCCTAAACCCTATCCGCGTTTTGCCTTGCGGCTTCGGCCTGGAAGTTGCAATAGCAGCCACGAAGAGCCAAACACGTTGGTTTCAAAGCCACAAAAAACAAGCCATCACCAGGGGCCTTAATAATTAGAATGAGTTTTTTTTTGTGGAGTGTCTTACTATAAATAAGGAGCCCCCAAAATAGTACAGGTAATGATTAAGGGGCAAACACATTAGGGTTATAAAGTTAGGGTTTTAGGGAACAGAACACATGTGAACTAAGAAGTTGCCGAAGAGCCTTGTCGGGAAGTGCGAGGTATAGGGTTTAGGGTTTAGGGTTTAGGTTTTAGGGTTTAGGGTTTAGGGTTTAGGGTTTGCGCTTATGAGCTTGTCTGATCCCTGGCTCAAGCTACCCTATCCCAAAAAAGTAAAAAACAACTCTAGGCATCCCATCGACTTAGGCCGTTTAGGGTCTAGGGTTTTGGGTGAACCACTAGAAGAAGGTTGGCCCTGCCTACTACAGGGTTTAGGGTTTAGGGTTTAGGGTTCAGGGTTTAGGGTGGGGGCTCCTTGTTATACTTATAGTCTAATATACCCCCAAAGCCTTATTCTAGTCATTAAGGCCCCTATATCCCAAACCAAAAAGAAGCCCTTAGAGAACCCTTAAAAGGAACCCCAAAACCCTAATCTAATTACTAAGGCCCCTAACTATATTACTATACGGGCCCTGATATCTAGGCTTCCTGTAAATCGCGTCCTCAGGGGTTCCTGTAGCTAGTATATACCACTTCCATTCTCTAACCATGCCCACCCCCCTAGGACACCCAAAGACCCAAAACCATAACAACCTATACCTCAACCCTAAACCCACCGAAAGACCCATAGGTAGAACCCTAGGGATAACTCACCCGAAGACCCAAAACCATAACAACCTATGCCTCAACCCTAACCTCACCGAACATCCCAACCCCAATACCCATACCATGGAACCACCAGAAGAAACCATACACCACCACACAGTAGAAGTAAATATGCGGGCGGTTGCAAATCGCATATAGCCAAGCATTTCAGCAAGTTAGGTTATAACATATTGTTTGCAGTTCCACAAAACAGTTTATCGCAAACTATAGATGATGAAGCAATTACTACAAATAAGTGTTTTGCTCTTTCCGTCGGCAATGGGGAGAAACTGCCAGAGTTTGACCATAGCAAATTTAACTGTATAGTGTCTGACGATTTTTTTATGAACAGTTTTTATATATATATATAATAGGATTAGGGAATTCGCGAATCAACATCCCGATAAGATTATCATAGGCGCGGGCGATGTTAAACAACTTCCCCCGATTGAAGACCTAACCAATACCAGAAAGCCCGATGAATACGCTGACGACTGCATCAACAAAATATTTAAATATAATCTGGTGCGAAAGATTTGTAAGAGGAAAGGGGCGAAGGATGACCCAAAAGCAAACGAGAACCGCGAAACCTTAAACCGTATGTATGTCGACATGTGGATATGCCGCATTCCTATAACTGATATTTAAATATAATCTGGTGCGAAAGATTTGTAAGAGGAAAAGGGCGAAGGATGACCCAAAAGCAAACGAGAACCGCGAAACCTTAAACTGTATGTATGTCGACATGTGGATATGCCGCATTCCTATAACCGACTTCGGTAAGGACATATTTTAAAACGACTGCCGACCTAATGGCGTCGGAGAAGAACATAGCATATACCAATATAAGATGTAAATATGTATCCAACTACATAAGAAGCAATCTGGGCAAAACTGATAAATACTAAGTGAGAGAGATATGAATATGTCGGAAGTATAAGAAGGTTGGGAACAACAAGTTTAATGTTAATTATCGGTTTAAAGTCGTTAATATATCCGGGAATGTAGTTACATTAGAGAACATAAAATCAAAGGATAAATACACCATCGACATTAGCACTTTAGATAATAATAATTTTAGATACGACTACTGCGCCACTTGTCATTCGGCACTTGGGGCATCAATCAAAGGTAAAAGCACTATCCACGAGTGGGAGAAGTCATATTTAGTAAGCCGTGAGTGGATATGGTGCGCCTTAAGGAGAAGCACTGATTTTAATGATGCTTTGTTTTGTGAAGGCGCTACTAATCATGGAGAACTAAACGAAGAACATCTACACCGATATTTAACACGCAAGATTAAGAACTATAAGCTAGAAGATGAAGCAAAAAATAGAAATATAGATGAGACTAAATATGTTGATACTGAAAGGTTTTTGAAGAGGTTAAACGGAAATTGCCAAAACTGCGGTTGTCGCTTTGATTTCGATGTTTGTCGAACTGGCAAAGCCAAGTTCGACACGCATCCAACCGGCGTAGCCGAGTTCGATGTGGCTAATGGTTACTTAACCAGTAACATAACTGCCCAGCGAAAAAATCATGAAGTCCCGCATAATAAAGACAACTGCGCGGCTTGGTGTAAGTTGTGTAACTGCTCTGCGAAATAATTATCAAAATATGTTTTTAATAATCATTTCTTTTTACTGGTTGGAACCATAATCTATTGTTGATGCTAGACTTCCCGAACTGCTTAATATCGTTGATGGTCGTGCGCTGTTACTGCTTCGTCTTGAACTGTTTATACTCTGTGGCAATGAACTATTTATGCTCAATGGGTTAGAACTTGCGATGCTTTCGGGCGGTGTAACGCTAGGATAAATCGGTAGTCCGGGATTACTTGAACGCCTTGACGATGA